CCAAAAAAAAAAAAAAAAAAAAGGAAAAAGAAAAAAAGAAAAAAGAAAGGAAAAGGAAAAGGTGAGGAAGTGTCTGGGCACAGCACGGTGCAGAGGCCCTGGGCTCAAGCCCTAGTGCCATGTGAAGAGCGAGACAGACAGACCAACAGACAGACAGACTCACCCAGGGGTCACCATGGATCCCACCAGCTAGACAGGTAATTCCTCAGTGCTTTGGGAAGATAGAAGTTGAGCCCAGAGTCACTGCTTATAGATCAGAAGTCGGAAACTTAGTTCATTTTCCATCTTGCAAGATGGTGGATGAAAACAGTGAGAAGCCAGACACCAAAGAAGAAACTCGAAGCCCAGAAGGCTTCTGCCAGTGGTACTGGTAAAAAGGGTAAGGTGAAGAATGCAAAAAAGTCCAAGAAGGGGCAGCCCCACTGCACCCGAAATCCTGTCCTGGTCAGAGGAATTGGTAGATACTCCTGGTCTGCTATGTATTCCAGAAAGGCTTTGTGCACGAGAAAGTACACAGCTGCTAAATCAAAGGTTGAGAAGAAAAAGAAGGAGAAAGTTCTTGCTACAAGCACAAAACAAGTCGAGGACAAGTCGAGGGGGGTGGGCAACAATGGTGGTACCAGGGTGGTTAAACTTCGGAAAATGCCTAGATACTACCCTACTGAAGATGGGCATGACACCACACTACCAGTCATCAAAACCACATCAACACAGATGCAGTCCTGAGAGCTCACCGCCATGACTGTCCCCGTCCCCTGCACTAGGCCCGGCAGTGGGTGCCAAGGTCGTGTTTTGCTCCAACATAATCAAAATCTGGTTCTATGTCCTACATTACATGAATTAGAGGAGTTTTTGGATAAACTTAAGAAAAGTATCTTTCTGAAGTTAGCCAGGTGTGGTGGTGCACACTTGTAATCCCAGCACTTGGGAAGGCTGAGGCAGGAGGGTTGCTGGTGTCGTAGGCTGCTGAATTAGACAGAAGTATTATAGACAGTCAGACAGGGCCAGCCCCTCAGGAGACAAGAAGGAAGACAAGGTGACTTTGCTACTTGGAAGAGACAGACACTCCTGTATGGGCCACACCTCAAGACCAAGACGAGGAAATAGAGCTACATACTTCCCTAGGGATGGGCACCAGGGATTGAGGTTCTAAATAGGTGTCAATCACCTTGAAAGAGCCCAAATGAGTCACTAACTCAACCCCCAACAGGAAGAGACCCCGTCCTGCATTCATGCCTGCTTGCCATGTCGCTTTCCCATTTGGTACTGGATTTAATCAATTTTACCTGAGCAATGGTGCTTGTAATCTCATTGGTTGGCCATAGTTTTGGCCCACCTCCTGCCCACCTAAGCGAGTTCCCATGTCTTTTCCACCACTTTAGACCCACCTCACTGCATGGTTTTCCTCTATAAATGTCCCTGGAAGAGACAGCTTCTTGGGGGGCCACCCACTAGGGGCCCCCTCTTCTGACCCTCTCAAACAAGAGCTTTCTTTTGCTCAATAAATATATTCTGCTCATAACCTCCGTTTGTTCCTAAAATTCATTCTTTGGTTTTAGAGAACATGAACTCGCCCCAGGTACCTTTTAGGTCAGAAGATCAGTTTTTCTCCCTGTGCCATTTTGAGGTTCCCTGTATTACTGGGACTTCGAGACTATGGCCAGCTCACGGCCAGCCTGAGCTCCACAGGGAGACCTTCTCTCATAAACAAAAGAAACGAAGTTCAAGGGGATTGGACAACCCGCCCTCAGGAAGAGGGCAGATGTTGACTTGAAGGCCTTGGCGTGTTGTCCTCCCTGCACGAGACTCCTCTCCCTCCTCCCCACATCCTGCCTGCTGTGTGTGGCCTCCCAGCCGCCTGGGGAAGAGCAAAGCCTCCTGCTAAGGACGACAGGAGCCTGCGACTGGGTGGCGCTGACAGGGGGTCTGCTATGCACCTGTGCCTGTGCTCAGCTTGATTCCTCTGGCCCCTGCCAGGGTGTGAAGAGCCCTTGCCAAGGCCTTGGATCCGTCGGGACCAGACCCGGGTCCTAGGACGCCCACTGCTCCAGCCTCTGTCATCAAGCCACGCGTGCCCTCCTCATTGGCCTCGGTGTCAGCTCCCTTTCCCCCAAATCAAGGGCCAGGACCTGGTCAGAATCCCTAAAATCAGAACATTTTTGCTTGGCTCGGGACACGGCCTTGCTATGCAGTTCAGGCTGGTCTTGAAGTCTTGGTGATCCTCCTGCCTCAGCCTCCTGAGTGCTAAGATTGCAGGAGTATGCCACCACCCCCAGCCCTCTTTATTCAGGTTTCCATGGCTCCTTCCCATCCTACCCTAGGCAGTCACCAGAATGTCAACAAGTGTTCTGGGTGCAGCAGAGCGTCCCTGTTCCCCAGCCTGGGGAGGCCCAGCGAGGGCAACCTTGTCTGTCTCCTGCCCTCCCTCGTGCCCTCTGCGCCCACGGCACCTGCGTTCTGCTCCATGCTTTCCTTGATGCCGTCCAGCATCTCCTGAGCATCCTCCACATTTTCCTCGTCCTCTTCCTCCTCATCTTCTTCCTCGCCTCTGTCCTTGGGGGCGACAATCCCCTCCTGCGGGCCACAGTGGTTCAGACTGGCGAGCGCCCTCAGGCCGTTCGCCACTCACCAACCACCTGGTACAGCAAGAGGCCTGGTACAAGTCTCCAGACTCCAGACTCCAGAAGGGATGCAGGGACAGTGTGCAGAGGATTGTGGGGCCGGGTGTGGCAGAGCACACCTGTAACCCCTGTACCCTGGGAGGCTGTGGCAGGAGGTCCTGCTCGGAAGGACCAAAACCTCAAGGGTTGCGTTTTTCTTTTTCTTTTAACTCTGCTTTTAGAATAATGTGTTTCTGAGCTGATGCCTGAACTGCTGAAGAATCAATGCTTTTCTAAGCTTCTAGGCTTTATCTTTCTCAAAGGAAACACGTTTTATAGAAATCAACATTTTTAGGGCTGGGAGCTAGCTCAGCAGCATAAGTGCCTGCCTGGCAAGCGCAAGGTCCTGAGTTTGATCCCTGGTACCGCAAAAAAAAAAAAAAAAAAAAAATCAACCTTTTTAGGCTGAGGGTGTAGCTCACCGTGCAAGGACAAGAGTTTAATGCTCACCACCCCCAAAACCCAGTACTCATTTACGGGCAAACACCCCAGGACCTACCTACCATTCTTAATGAAATAATCAAAGACAGATCATGTGCTGATAATGCCCTGAGAAACACAGCAAGGAGACAACCACTGTGCCACAGTCGCCACACTCAGGAGGCTGAGACAGGGAGATCTCCAGGACTTTGAGGCCAGCCTGGGCAACACAGTGAGTTCAAAGCCAGCTGAACTAACTATATAGGGAGACACTGTCTCAAAACAAGCAAGCAGGAATAAAAAGACTTAAAAGCGTTCCCATCAACAGAGAGAAGACAAGCTACACTTTGAGGAAGACCTGGAGGCAGTCCACATTCCAAGGGCAAGGCACGGCAAACAGTTCTGGCTCACAGGCAAGGCCCGTGGGCTTCGCTGTTTTCAGAAGCGGGGGCCCAGCAGCAAAAACCAATGAAAGGAAGCGATCTCCTGGACCTGTGCAATCAGTTGCACATCATGAGACGAAGCGAAGCAGATCCCCCGCAGGGAGTTACCAGCTTGACTATGGCCTCGGCGATCACGTCCTTCAGCTGGATGTGGTGCAGCTTGTAGTGCCTGCACAGCTCCTCCGCTATGCTGGACTTGCCCACGGCGGGGGGACCCAGGATGCAGATCTTGATGGGCTGCGAGGGGGCAGAAGGGCTGGTGAGCTCTGGGCGGCAGCGGATGTGTACTGAATTGTTTTTAACGCGGTTACCTGACTTTTTTTTTTTTTTTTTTTTAAAGTACATAAAAAACACCACTTCTTCTGCTTAAAATGTGCTTGAATGTTAAGTGAAATGCGTGCCACTCACACGCGGTGCTGTACTTGAGAAGCCGAGACAGGAGGGCGGCACGTTAGAGGCCAGCCCGGGGAGACGCCCGGGGACGCAGCGCAGCATGATGGCCCCGGCTTTTGTGGCCAGGACCAAGAAGACACAAGAAAAAATTGCCGTCAGCAGCGTCCATGCACTTAAGGGTTTGGTAATGTTGCTCCCCAAGCTGGTTAGCATTGTTACTACCACCACCTGACGGGGAAACTGAGGCCACGGAGGAAGGAAGGAGGCACCCTGGCCTGGATGGGGGTGGGGCGCCTGGGGACAGGGCCAGGCCGGGATGCCTTCATGTGGTCCCCAAGGCCCGAAGCCTGGCATGCCGGGGACAAGGAGCTGCTTCGTGGGCCTGGCCCTGGCCCTGCCCCGTGCCAGGGAAGATCCCATCCCCGGGGCGGCCTGGCTCCTTGCAGATGGGACAGAAGCCGTGGCTCAGGTCACTGGCAAGGACGGGAGCGGCCATATGGAGCCTGTGGACTCAGGTACTCTGTGCCAGGCCTGGTGCCCCTGGGTCTCTGGGCCTGGGCCTCACTGAGGGAAGGGCTGCGCCATGCCCAGCCCCATGTTCCAGGAGGCACTCTGCACCCTGTTCAGTCCTGCTGGCAGGAGCTGTGTGTCCCCAAAGCACTTGCCCTGTCCCTGTTCTGCCTGCCTGTGGGTTTGCCCCGGGGCCCAAGAGGACAGCACGGCCTGCACCTGCAGCTCCAGCTGCTGCGAGGCGCTCACTGTGTCCTGGCCCACTGTACCTTTTATGCAGCCAGGCATACTTTCCAGGACACTACGGTCTGGGGACAGGTGGGGACACTCTGGAGCACTGCCAGGCACAGCAGTGACAGCAGTTACTATGACTACTGAGGAATTTTAAAGCACTTCTTCCTGGGTGATCCCTTTTGTCTTGGAAGCTTCTCAGGGGCCCCCCAAGACCCCTGCAGGAGCTGCCTGCATCTGGTTTCAAAGGGGGCACAGACGTGTGCGGTTAGCCGAGCCTGCTCCTGTTTGCACTGCAGGCTAGTTGTGTGCCTGTGGAGAGGCTGTTTCCCCTCCTGCAGTTCCAGCTCCCTCATCCATCATGTGGAGATAAGAAGGTCTCCTTTAACAACCTGATCGTGCACATCTGAACGCACAGTACCTGCCTCGCCCCACAAAAGAAGCAAGGTGTGTGAGGCAATCTGCAAGCAATTCGCTCCATTTAACCATTTCACAGCCTGTACCTTGGTGAACAGAGGTTCCTGGTGGTCCATGTGTGTGAGCCCAGCACTCTGGGAGGCTGAGGCAGGGGGGTGACAGGTTCATGTCCATCCTGGGCAACTTAGTGAGACTTTGTCTCTAAACAAAAAAATGAAAGGGGGGGGGGTTGACTTGGTGCCGAGCAAGGCCCTGGGTTCAACTGCCAGTGCTTCAAGGATCAATAAATAAATCCTACTGTCTCCCTGAGGTATTGTTGCAGGTAGGGACGCACCTGGTAATTTTGCTTACGTTGGTAACCATGCCAATCTGTATTCAGCTTACTGTCCTATTCAATTTGCACAGCAGTTATGATCAATGGTTGTGCTGTTTTTTTAGACAGGGGGTTGCTCTGTAGTGCAGGTTGGCCTGGAACTCACTAGATGGCCCAGGCTGGCTTCCAACTCGAGGTCTTTCTCCTGCCTCAGCCTCCCAAGTGTTGAGATTACAGGCATGTGCCACCATGCCTGGCTTAAACATTTTTAAGGTTCTGGTGACAAGTGTCAGTGTAACATACATGTAGATGATCAGACCTTAACAAATTGGTCAAGTCTGAAAAGCAACTTGAAATCAGAAGTGGATATCTGAAGAGGAAAATGCTTTCACGGGCGCAGCGGCACACAAGTGGGCTTGGTTGCCTGCCTGAAGTGGGGGCGCGGGCAGGGGATCCTTACCAGCAGCCCTCTGCTCTGCTTGTATTCTTTGAGGATGCTGTTAATGTTTTCCACAAATCCGGACTGCGCCACCCAGCGAATGTTGAAATTCTCTTTCACAAAGAGCGCCTCCATTCTTAGGTTGACCAGTAAGTGGTCAATGCTGTCTTGCTAAGGAGGGAAGGGAATGACAGGTTAGTCACTTGTCTCCTGTGACAGTTGGGACAGACCAGCATCACTACAGGTACCAGGAAAAGCAATGTACATTCACCAAGGATGGAAGTTGATTGGTGCAAGGATTCACAACGCACCTACTGTGATCCATTCTCTCTCAATCTCTCTTTCTCTCTCTCTGTCTCTCTGTCTCTCTGTCTCTCTGTCTCTGTCTGTCTCTCTCTCCTTTTTGTGGTGCTGGGCATCCTAGACAAGTATCTACCACTCAGCTACACGCCTTGGCTTTTTCTTTTTAAAAATAAGGGCCAAGTATATAGTTGAGTGGCACAAGCGCTTGCCCTGCAAGCATAAGGTCCTGAGTTCAATTCCTGAAACCAAAACAGAAGTACACTTAGCATCTACTTTTTGAAGAGCACAGTACCATGGTTCACCTCCCCCAAAGCATTAAGTGCTTCCTGTGGTGGCGCACACCTGGAATCTCAGGCCTCTGGGAGCTTGAGGCAGGAGGATTGCAAGTTTGTTTGGTTTGTTTGTTTGTTTGTTTTTTGTGGAACCGGGAATTGAACTTAGGCCCTTGTACTGTCCAGGCAAGTGCTTATTCTACTGAGCCATCACCCAGGCTTTTAAAAGGATTTTTTTTTTTTTTTT